TGTTGAGATATGTATCCAACCCATCAGCTTAAGTTTTTTGGACGAGTGATGGTTTATTCATCTTAACAAAATGAGAGAAATTTTATTGATTGAAAAAACTACTCAACAAATGAAGACAGTAGCCCCTTTGATAGAAGAGGGCTACTGACATTTAACAAGAACTAACTAATAATAGCCAATCAACTAACTAAAAACAGCTAACCAACTAACTTCAGCCTTTAACTAATAACTAATAAAACTAATGGACTGGTAATTACATCAATGATCTATGAGACAAACCCTTGTTAGTGGAGTGAATAGAGCCAATTGACAGAACATTTTCCTTGTCCGTACTAACTTTACTTACTACGAGCCTTATTCAAGTTGACTTGAATCCCTTTAGCTAATAAAGGCTTTGTGAGCTCTTTTCCAAAAATAGTGTTAGACTTTCTACGAGAGTAGTAAAGAGGAAGGGGTTGTATTAATCTTTCAGTATTCTTCATACCAGGTGGAAAATGGTTGCCCTTTGACTTTTGGTTCAAAATAGCTTATGCATTTAATTCTTGGAAAACAGTAGGGCCAATATTGTCCATTTCCTTATCAATGCGCACGACTTTTCTGACCAGATGGGTTCTCAACTGACCCGTCACATTTTCTGGGCCAACTGGAGCGTTTTGAGTAGATAAGGGGTCAATTGCAAGCTACTTTTCCAACCTAACCTTATTACGAAACTCTTTGCCAAAACGAAACTCTTGATCTGCCAAGACTTCTTGGAATCTCTGGATATCCAACGGATTTGAAGAATTTGCAATCGACAAAGTCCTTGAAAGCTGAACGGAGGAAGATGACGGCTTGGTAGCGTCATTTATGGCAGCCACTTTTACCACAAACACTCCACATTTCGTAGTTATCTCATTAGAAGTCGGAATAAAGCCGCAATCATTCTTCTATATTTGAATGGAATAGCAGATTTAGTGTTGCTGAAGAGATTTTTTTCAAACCTCCAAGATGGGTTCCAATGGCCTTGAAGCAATTTGTGTTCCAAAGCTCTAAAAGTAAGTCGCAAATTTTCACCCAGCCACCAAAACAAACCGTCATTTCATTCCTGCCATTTTTCAAGATCCCACTTCTCCATCTTCACGTGATATCCATCTAACATGCGCCATTTACTATTGAGCCAATTAGAGTTCAAGGGCCTTCCAATTTCGAATCTAAATAAAGCCTTATCTGCGAAAAAAGGTTGACGTGACAATTTCTGAGAAGATACTTTTGAGGGAGACAACAATTGCTTTCCAACTATCCTGAGCATAAAACCTTGAAATAACCATGGTGTTATCCCAATCTGTTTCCACAACTTCGAATTCCTTCTGAACCCAATAAGACTTGCTCCCTTTTCTTCTCTGAAAAACCTCATCCTCTACGGTAGGGGATGCCATCATGCTATCTCTATATATGAAAAGTTGGAGGCCCCCTTCAAAAGCTTTCCATCAGAGTTCACCAAGGAGTCTTTTAGCATGTCCCAGAAGGTTACCCAGGCGTTATTTCTAAACCTTGCAAGTACCGTTATGAATTTTCTTCCACCCGATGTGGGTCAAACAATGCATTTCAAAAACCAGCTGTGCAAGAATCTCTTTTTATGGAGTCGACAAGTTCCGTTCCCGTTCCTAACTTGCATGAGAAATCTCGAATGCAATGGAAAATGTAGTAGTTCCACCAAAGTCTTTTCTAACCACTGAAGTTGGGAATTTGAAGAGAAATCTGAACATTCCTCCTAGAGTCTTTTATGAAAAAACGATCACTATCACATTGAATCCAATAATAATTGTTTTCAATGCTGCAACTTCTCAAATCCATAATATGGTGTTTGTAGACGTCGATATATCGAAAAGCTACCTAAAAATTCAGAGACGTCGGAAAACGTGCTGGGGTATCGGAAGACTGCATCAGAGGAAGACCTAGAGCAGGGGGACTGCGTTGGAGGAGTGCGAACGGAGGAAGATTGGAGGAAAAAGAGGAGAAAACGGCCACAAAAAGAAACCCTAGCGGCGTAGGCGTGGCGACGGTGTCGATAAGGACAACGGTGGCGAAGGTGGTGGCAGGCAGCAGTGATGCAGACGACAAAGGAGAGAGCGGCTGCTAGGGTTAGGGTTAGAGGGGCGGCAGCGTCTGGAAAAAGGGTTAGGTCGGCGACTAGGGTTAGGTTTGGCGAGCAGTTGCGATGGCGGACGGCGAAGCAGTGTCTGGAAGAAAGGCTATGGTGGCAGCTAGGGTGGGGAGGGAGGGAGAAACTTTTTTATTTACTGCAGAAATGAATATTGGTTCTTGCAGCCATTTTGATTAATTGCAGAAATGAATAATTTCAGAAATGAATTTTGGTTCTTATCTTTTTTGACATTGTGAAATCTGTAAGGCCCATTAAGTCCATGAGGGAGAGTGGGGAGCTCTCAAAATCTCCCTTGTTTGATGCTTTGTTTTGATAAATAATATTGAGCCTTATTAGGTTTCCTTACAGGTTGTTCTTACAAAGACTCAAACCAAGCGAGAAGTTTGAGCACCAAGCCAGAATCATGAAGGAGATTTGCTTGATGAGAACTTTGACCCATTTTAGTGGGGTGGTTTATCATAGGCTTCAAAACCTTGGCGAGGATTTGATGTGGTGCCTTGAGTGTGTTGTAGAGAAATTATAAAGGTTTAGAGGTAAGATTTTGCCCAAGTGAGTGAGTACTTTAGGTATTGTGGCTCACATCTCCTTATCCTTGTGACTCTGAGTTCTTGCATTGAGAAAAGGAAGGTTGACTAGCATAACCTCTCAGTATTGCACAAGAGTGGAAAAATTTAGATTAAAGAATTGATAAAATTACACAATAAACAGTAATAATATTACCTTTTATATGTTTACCTTTTTGGCCAAAATGGGTCAGTTGATCCAAAATCTTGACTATGGTTTAGGTTTTTGGACTATTAATGTTATCATGCCTTTTATCAGTTGCTATTTAATTAGTTGTATGTCTCAATTTCCCTTGGATTTTAAAGTTTGCCGTTTTACAATAAACGATTCAGTCACCTGCTTATGTCGTTCATCAATTATCAGTTCATTTGTCCTTCTCGTCATCATTATTACAATGAATTTAGGTCTAACTAGCAGTACTGCTGAGATAAAGCAAGGATTTAGGCGAGCATTTTCTGCTCCATGGCCTCAAAAGCTTCGTTACCAGGTTCATAATCTCTTTCTTGTTAGTTGATCAAGTTGCATACCGAGTCAAATCAAGTGAGACTAGAATAGACTAGATTCTGAGGTTCTATCTCTCTCTCTCTATAAGCTACGTATCTGCTGACTTTTGCCTGTAGAGAGTGGTGCTTATATGTTTGATTTTTTGACACAGAAGCATTGGCTTATTCAGTGAGTTGTTAGTTAAGCGAGATGGTTAGTCAGTTTGTTGCTTAATTATTGTTTTGGTTTCTCATGTTTGTTTCATCATGCTTGTTTTCGAAAGAAAATTATGCTTGCATTAATAGCAGCTGATCAGGGTTCGTATTCATTGGTTTAAATATAAAAATTGTTCATTTTTCCCTGAGTCCTCCTCTCTGCTTTATTTGTCATAACTCTACTCGTCTTGCTTTGACCTTTCGGGAGGTTTCTCAATGCTCCACACTTGGATTGGTCTTGCTGCAAATTTTGCTCAGTGTTTGGAATATCAGAATGAATTAATGATTTGGTGTTGGGTGTTTGGGAAGGATAAAATAAAGTCTTGGAACATTGTGACTAGAAGAATATTTGCAATTTTGCTATCAGTAGTGACGAAGCAGGGTAAATTCATGGATTAAGATTTATCAAACTGTTTGATATTGTCTTGGTTTACTTTCATTAAGGAAACAGTTTCATTGATGAAATGAAAATTACTAGTAACTTACATCCTCAAAAACCAGGAAAACCAACTAAAGACTTACGGACAGCAGCGCAACCTAAATGATTTCCTTTTTTTGTTTCGCCCCTATGTATTCTTTTGGTTCTTCTCGATGAAAGTTGGTTTTCTCATGAAAGAGGAAAAAAAAAAATCAAACTGTTTCATGTTTCCCTCTCCATTCTCCATTCTCTGTAACCTTTATGAATCGTAGCATTCTACTACTATATTTATCGTCCCTATTTTTCAGAATAAATATTATAACAGTGTTATTTTTTTCTTCCATAGTAATTTCCTAAAGCTATTTTAGATGTTTTATTGTGGAAAAGCTACTCCATTATTTTTTTACTATATTGATAGGGAGATGGAAGGCCATTTTGGAAACTTGTCGTTTCAGAAGCCACTGGTTGTGCCGATGATAGTTACTTTGAAGAAGTCTATCAGGTGATGTATTTTAAACAAGTTTTTTTAGTATTATTTCTATGGCCAACTTTTATCTCATAGATGACGATTCTGCATGTTTCATGATAGCTACAGTTATTGGAACATAAAGTTACTGATCAAACTTTATTTCTATCTAATGGTCTACCTCTATCTATCTACATACCCATTGAGATGAAGAATACATTGGCATTTAGTATGCAGGCATGGTTTACAGGATCGGGTTTCCTGATTCCAATCCCATCCAATTTAAACAGAGACATCTCATTTCAGCATTCGTAGCCAAGATTCTGGAGAAAAAAACAAGACTTTTTGTCTGGTTGACGAGCAATGTAAATGGGTGCCCCTTGGTTAGTCAAAGTAGAATTTCTCTTCCTATGAATAGAAGCCAGCAAAACATTTTGAACTTTTTGGGATATTTGGTTTCTAAATCGACTTGGTCAAAGGTTTATAGCCAGCACCACCTCCGTAGATGTGTGATTAGATAAGAGGATGTGATATAATTGTCACATAGCTGTTGTGATTGTACATAGTCATGTTGCAAGTTTAAGCGACAATTCTACGGGTATTTCATCACGACACCAGTGTTGTTGAGGCGCACCCGGGCGCTCGCCTCAGACGAGAGGTGAGGCAATTTCGCCCAGGTGCGCCTTGCAAGGTGCCCAGGCGAGCGCCTTCAATCGGGCGCTCGCCTCGGTGCGCCTCTCGCCTGAGGCCAGGTGATCGCCTCGTTCGCTTCTGCTTTATTTATTTTAATTTTTAATGTGTTTTTTTTTAAAGAACATTTCTCCCTCGCGAAATACCTTAGTCCACAAACCCTAACCATTCTCTCTGCCTCTCGACATTCACCTTCACCACCCTCAATCTCCGGCCATCGCCTGCTCCTGTCTCCGACCATCACCGTCGCCGCTCCCGTCTCTGACTAAACTTCTTGTTGACATTTACTATGACACTATTTTGGTATTTATTTTTTAAACTATGTTTACTATATAAATATATGCACTATATATATAATTTTTATTTATTTATTAAGGTGCGCCTCGCTTCACTCAGGCGTCGCCTTTGTATCGCCTCTTGCCTCAAGGCGATCAAAGGGTTTGTCGCCTTGAGGTGCACTTTGCGCCTCGAAAACACTGCACGACACCAACCATTACTCTAGCTTTGCATCAATCAGATGCAACCTAAGTTGAACATTTCAACTCAAAAAATCCATTTTCCAGCAATTGGTTTATCCAATTTCTCTTGGAGTTGGCCAGGTAGACAAGCTAGGAAGGTGGTTTTGATAGGTTGGTTCTGGGCCAAATGGTCTTCTCGCAAGTCAATGTCCTTACTCCTTACCATTTCCTACTCTGTTCATCTGTTTTTCCATTGCTCCTATGCATTGAAGTGTTGGTTTTCACTGTTCAAAGAGTTCAATTTATCTTGGGCTTTCAATGGTGTAGCTGTGGACAATGTCTTCAATTGCTTCTTAGGTTGAATTTGCCTCCACAAGGTCACCTACTCTTTGAGGGACAGCGTAAATCTTCAATCGATCGGTTTAGCATAGCTAAATTTAAAATCTATCAATGGTGTTCTTTGTCAACTACTTTTGAGAATTATTCTTCTTTCTCTTATTTGTTCTAATTGAGGTGCTTTTTGTTGCCGTGTTTAGTTTTGGTTTATTTCATTGTTTTCTTTCACTCTTTCGAGAGTTTGTACGTTGAACATTTATGTTCCTTTTTATTATTTCAATGAGAAGTTCATTTCTTGTTAAAAATTGAAAAAAAACAAAATAAGAACTCATTCGTCAAGCTTTTCCATTTAAATATAAATTTATATGGCCTTCCAAAAGTAATATTATCCATAAATCACTCTCCTTAGCTGAAGCCATTATTCATCATTAATAATTTTCCTTTGTTTGCATCTGTTCAGTACTATGCAAATGGTGATGCATGGCATCTTCCACATGGGGCTTATGAAACTCTGATCATTTTGAAAGACGCTGGAGGTAAAAATTTCATAGGTTTTTCTTCATATCCATTAATAATATTGAGATGGATGAAAAATTTTTGTCCATACTTCTTTTTAATGCGATGGGATTTTTTGTGCAGTTAAGGTGGCTGTTGTGTCCAACTTTGACACTCGCTTAAGGAAGCTGTTGAAGGATCTAAATGTTTTGGATATGTGAGAACGTTCCTCTTTACTTCTTTATGAATAAGTGATGACTTCATTATTTTATACCTACAATATTCGTCATATGTGTAACTTCCAATGACACCACAAGTTTCTTCCCTTGTGGAGTGAAATAAAGAGATGTTTCCTTGCTATGAGAAAAATAAAAGTAAAATAAATATAGCTATGAGTTCTATGTAGGAAACAAGATGAGCGGCTTGATTCATGTTGCAAAATTATCTATGTGGAGGTAAGAAATTTTATTTTTCAGGTTTGACGCTGTTATAATATCGTCAGAAGTTGGATATGAAAAACCTGATGGAAAAATATTTGAGACTGCATTAGGTACAACATTAGTCTTACAAATTTTTTTCTCGTGGACCAGATATAGTTACTAAACCTTTAAATAAAACGTGTACCCTCACATTATTTTTTAGCTCAGTTTCAGTTAGGTATGGTTTCTTTTCAAGAAAAAATAACCTCGAAATGTTTGTTCTAGATCAAATTGACGTCACATCAGACAAAGCAGTACATGTTGGAGATGATCTGAAGGCAGATAAGGAAGGAGCAAATGCTGTTGGAATAGCTTGCTGGTAAGAGCTCTTACAGGAACCATTGATTATGACACCTTTTGCAACTGCCATGACATTTTGATTATGATTGATTTTACTAGAATTCTGGGGAGATATTTCTTCTGTATATTGAAAAACCATCTACAAATAAAGAAAAAAATACTACAAACATAAATGGTAAATATTGATATGAATGCTAAACATAAATATATACCACTAATATTACAAAATATAAAGGAAATCCAACCGTTTTCACTGATAAGAAATAGTGCAAAACTGAACAATAAAGTTGAAGAAACAAGTACAATTATTCTTGTTATTCCTTTTTCCCCTCATGGTAATGTGCATCTATTTGTATAAAGCAGTCTATGGGGAAGTGATGTTATGACCTTCCAGGACATTCAAAATCGGGTTCTTGTCCGAGATTCAAGCTTTTAAGCAGTCGACGTCAACGGGATATAGATTCGGCTGGGTTCTCTTCTGAACTGTCCTTTTTATTTGGGTCTTTGATAGGCAAAAGTACGGTTTTTGCCTCCATAATTTTGTGTTTGTTGTTGGAGTGACATTGAATGTTAGGAGCATAATTTGTGTGATGGATGGATAGAATTGGTATTAGTTGAAGTTGTAATAAAATCTACCAATTATAGTGACAGAATGAATTTGAAGGCTCAAAACAACAATTTAAACCTTGCAACTTATCATTAGTAACTGTGTTCTGATATCAAACTAGTCAGAATCTCAAAATCTTTCCATGAAATGACTTTTGTCAATAATGTTATGAGGTGAACTAATTTTCTTATAAAAACTGTGAAACAATTACTAATTAAGTGTTTGCAAGAGTTTTTAGAATTTCCAAAATTATTTTTAACTTTATCAGCAAAGCTTATTAAGAATGTTTTTTTTTTCTTTTGACATGGTTAAAGCACTTTTTTCATAGTTAGAAAAAAGCAGAGGGTCAAATGTCAAGTTAGATATCGAAATGGATATTGGAAGATCAAACATTTTATAAAAGAAAAAAACTTGACTCCTTAAAGTTAAGGATGAACTTTCTCCTTAATACCACTAAGTATTTGACAATTCATTGTTTTTTTTTTATTTTTACAGTTCTTTTTTAGTTGTCAAATATTTAATGGTCTTAAAGAGGAAGTTCCTCCTTAACTTGAAGGAGTCAAGTTTTTTTCTTTTATATAAAAAGAAATTTGGTTAGGGACATGTTGTGAAAGTACGGTGGATGTCGAAATTATTTTAGCAATTTGCAGGTCTTTTATGCCACCTGACATCCTTCTTAACTAATCTTATCGACCTCTCAAACCTCGTGGCTCCCAAGTCTCACAACCCATAAATTATTTTCCTTTTACATTTCCCTTCACTCACACAATAAATAAATTTACCTTTTTTTAATACAACAAATTTTATTAATGTCATATAATTTAGCATTTTTCATTCAGTTTTTTTTTTTTTTGGAAATTTTTTAAATTTTATGTTCATTTCAAACCAATATTTTTTCTTTATATATCTATACTATATTAAAAAGGTAGGATGTAGGAAAAACATTTTTGGAGAGTTTGAAGAGTTTTAGAATTTGAAAAGCTTTTGTAACGTTTTATCCACTACTATTGTAAAAATAGGCTTTCTTCTACTTGTTTTTCACAAGTTTCAATACTTTTTTATTTTTAGTTCCTTCAAACATCTCTCAAAGATGATTCAATCATGAAAACATCTCGAGATATTTGTGACATATTCATCAAGTTGCAAGGGAGACATATGTTGAATCTACATATCTCGAATACTAGGTTTGTGACATTACCATTCCACAATTTTACAAAGTTGAATAATAGTATATGTCAAGCAATCTTCAAGAATGAGCATATTTACTCTAAAAGATGAGTGTATAGTAGGAATTTGGATTTTTTTTTTGTTACTATTGTTATTTTTCTAATTAGTGTGTTTTTTATTTGGATGTTTCTTTTTTTTAGCAATTTTATTTAGTATAGGATTTGGATTTTTCTTTTTGTTACTAATATTTTTTTATGTTTAAGTGTACTTTTTTTATTTGGAATGTTTCTTTTTTGAGCAATTTTATTTAGAATATTTGTTTAAAATATAGATAATTACAAGCTCATGTTCTTATTGTTGAAAAAAAAAACAATCATAGAAGTCAATACTTAAAAAAATGTTTAATTAATAAATTAATTATAAACAATAATTTGTATAGAATCTTAAAAGGTGGAATATAAAACTTTTAGTCATTTTATTTTCTAATAATATAATTTGAAGAATTTTTCTTTAATAATTTTAATTATAATATAAAATTAAATCAATAAAATAATTTATATTTAGTTAAAAAATTCAACATATATAACAAAATGTCAGCTCTAAACAAATATTTAATAAACAAACAAAATATTAAAAAAATAAAATAAAGGACCCATATTAGGTTGAAATAATTTAAAAATAAAAATATTAAAATACCTATTTACTTTTTTATTAATATATAATTTTTCCTTTACTTTTAATTTATTTATTTACAAAATATATCATTAACAATTAATTATAAATAGTACATTTTATAATTAGTAATTAGCCGTCAATAATAATAAATATATATAATAATTAATCTTAATTATTTTTAAAAATAATTATACTTAAAATATTTTAGGTGAAATTATATAAAATTTAAGTTACCTTATAATTAAAAAAAAAATTACGTGCATTGCACGTGGTAATACACTAGTTTTAATTAAATTATTAATTTTTTGAAAAATTCTCCCTTCCTATCTCTCCCCCTTCATTAATCTCTTTATTTATCCCTTCTTTCGACATAAAATTTTTTTAATTATTAAATATTTTTGAAGTTTACTGAAATATAATAAAGTTGGGTATGCTTTAACAAAAATTTGCACGGTGTAATATTTATCTATTTATAAAATTTTAATATATTTAATAATTAAAAATTTTATAATAATTTGTTATATATCAAGATTTGATATCTCTATTAATTATGTAACCATACAAATATTATTTAAGTTAATGAGTATGATTATTAAAAAATGATTAATTATATAATAATTAAGATATAATTAAAATCTCATTTATTAATTCAAACAAATTTCATATTTTTTTTATTATTTTTTCCAAAATTTCTATTCCCATCAACATTTTATATTAATATTATTCGTATTTTTAGGTATGATGATTAAAAGTAGCCAATTATAACATAACTAAGACATAGTAAAAGCATAATTTACTTGTTTAAATAATTTCCACGATTTACAAATTTTTTTTTCACGTTGCTGGGATAGTGAGATCTATGTTTTTTCTTCTAAACATTAGATAGACCCTCGAAGGTACACTTTCTTGTATCATTCACATAAGACATGACAAAGTTTTAAAGATCTATGTTTTCCACTCGCAAAAATAGTTAAAATTATCTTCTTTTGACTCTATAGAAATGATTTTTTCAAATAATACCCATGTCCATAAAATTTTATAGGAAATGTTGTGTTATACTTGACATATAATTGATAAGTACCATAATAGTTTTCAAATCTGGGCATAATTTAATTGCTCAAGACATTATAAACTTGTCCTAAACATCAAGTGTTGAACTAAAAAAAAATACCATAATATATATAAAAACTATAAAGAAAACTATTAATGGCAATCTCACAAGGATGCATCATAACAACGTGGATGAGAAGAATATGGACTATTAAACGATTTACAACAAATACAACATAAATAAATTCTATAATCATTCTGAGCCCATTCTATACTAATCTTAAGAAGGAGAATTTTCCCCATCCCACTTGAAATATTCCTAAAGGGCGTGGGCAAATCCATCTGCAATTGGGCAAATTGCCACATGATAATTTCCCAACTCTCAGCTAATCACAACACATTGTAACTTGTTCAAATAATGTAAGCACTTGGAAATCACAAACCTTCCCTTGCGAATCTTCACTCCATCTATATTTTCCCCCACATAGAGCAACTATACAATTACTGCCCAAAAAAATGAAGCCTCTTAACAATTGATTAGCATTTGTTAGAAGGATTTCTATTAAATCTTTCCAACGAATAGTAGTTGAATGTGGGTCGACCATCGACCGGGATCTAGAGAGTTTTGCCAGTTCGAGGAAGATAAGTCATGTCCATACTTATAGGTGAAATTAGTATTGGACGGTCTCCTGCATTGATAGGATATAAAATTTAGGAAAAATAATTTCAATAAATCAACTTTGACCTCATACTTTCAGTTTCTATCAAAATTTATGATGACTAACCAACAAAACACTCAAAATGAAATCACAATGGTACTGATACCCAATTAAACACATCCAACATGACTTAAAAGAACTAGTATCCACAAAAATAATACCATAGAGCCACGTAAAAGGCTCATAGGCTACAAATTGTAAAAATAAATGAACACTTACCTAATTGAGGGTATTGATTGTACCACTTATTCAAGTTCAGGATTCAATGGATGAAATTAAAAAACTAAGATCAAAATTGACTTCAAACTAAAATTCGGTTTCGTATTATACCCTAAAATTTAATTCACAAGTCTAAAATGGGTTGTACATTTATCAAACAAGCATGACTGATGGCACTTTCCATGGTAATGCATTCCTTAACACATTAATCATGTTGTCTCAATTCGTTAATTTCAGCAAGTCCTTTACCCTCTTATTTTTCACATATCCTCAAAAGAATGTGATATCTCACACCGAGTAAATCCTTAACCCTTCCCCTACTTTCATTTTTAGCCCATAACCTCAAGCTAGGAACTCCAATCTCCAAACTTTAGACATAACCAAGAAATTGCAAATGAAATCAGAGCATTAGAGTCCATAAGACATACTGGCTACTTTCGTTTCCTTCTTAATTTCTGAGCAGAAAGGTCAAAGTCATAGCTGAAAGGCTGATAAAAAAGAAGCCAATATATCAAAGTGGGACCTGCAATTAGAAGGCGTCATAAAATTACTCAGACAAAAATGGCAGAAACAATGAGAGATCCGAATTCATATATTTACAATGCAGTAGAGAGCAATTTTCAATCAACTGGTGGTACAAAAGTCAGAACTATGTTTGAATGTAGTGTTCCAGAACAAGATAGTGAGATCCAAAAGTTCAAAACAGCATTGAGTCGCTACCTAGTAGCTAGAAATTATTTAAACATACTTAAAGAATCTAGAGACTAAATTGTTAAATTGACAAGAGAAAATAATTCTTTTTTACTTAAACATTAAAAAGTTGATACATGGATATAAACAGCAGCTACGAAACCCTTGCCTATTAGGATAAGTAAACAATTACTTATTAGAACAAGGAAACCCTAGCACCTAAATACAATAGGAAATTAAAAGATAATAAATATAATTTAATATAAATAAACACAATACTTTAGTTGGTGTCTTGGTGATTACCTATCAGACGAAGGAATTGTCTATCTCAGCTCTTATGTCACACTATACAAGAGAACGGTGTAGCTGAGTGCAAGAATTGTCATCTCCTTGGAGTCACTCAATGTTTAATGTTTTATCCTAATGTTCCCAATTCACTTGATAAATTATATGCCCTCTCGTGTTCTTAGCTTACTCCACTCCTCGTAAGGTCTTTCTTCAAACATTTACTCATCTCCAAGTTCAATCTCTAGTTTGGTCCCAAAGGTCTTCAGCACTCCCTTTGTTCATATCTATCCCCAACATGATAGCAAATTGGACTCCAAACATATAAATGCATATTCTTGGGATACTCACCCAATAAATGGGGTTACAAATGTTACTATCCTACCCGATAATTGATCGTCAAGGGGGAGAAAGTAATTGATGATCAGCTTTGGTCCTCCTCACTTGAAACTGAGTCTGAGTCCTTTATCTCACTTCCTGGAATACTCACCCAATCAACGGGGCTACAAATGTTACTCTCCACCTCGTATACCCGCTTCTCCAGTCAACATATCCGTGTTTGAGGAGAAATTTCTTCTTAGTCTTATCACCAATACAAGGAGAAACAAAAAAGTTGAGAATGTAAGTCCTAGAACTGAACAACTTTTCCAAAGAGTACAAACTATCTTCAACCAACACATTATTACTATTATGCTGCTCTGTTACCAAAACTTCTTCATTAATGTTGACGTCCTCCTCACTGTTTTGTTACGGCCCCAATAGTGAAGACCTACTCTAGAAGGGGTAGGAAAGGAATTGTGTTGGGGGTAAGTGAGTAATTATGTATGGAGGGAAAGAATAACGGTTTAGGAGTGGGGACCATGGATAGGAGAGTGACGAGTAGAAAAGGAGGATCGGGAATAGGAGATAATCATCTTGGTTGTTAGTGCCTAAAGGTACCCTCTCGAATTGGTGGGGTGACTTGTACAGCCTACGGGCTTACTTGTTTCTGAATATCAATACTAAAGTGAAGAGATACCTCACAAATTGGTATAAGAGCAGTTCGATGCTACGAAGATTGCTGGAAGATGATGGTGAAGGAGCTGGAATCAAGATGTGATGCAACGGAGAAGGAGATTGTCGATCTTAAGGGGGCAATTGCAACCTTGTGTGGGAAGGTTGATGAGCAACAGAAGATGAGTGCTAGAATCCAGATGATGCTGGAGAGCTTTATGGCAGATGTCACCGGCGGAACTACTTCGTCGATTTCGCAATTGGGCGAATCTTCATTGCTGAAAAACAAGCAAACGTATGATCTGACGCAGATCATCCAGATTCACGAACCCGGGTATGATCGCAACAAGTTCAAGAAGGTGGAGATGCCTATTTTCACAGGAACGGACCCCGATTCTTGGCTGTTTCGTGCTGAACGTAATTTTGAAATTCATAAGCTAACCGATGAAGAAAAGCATATTGTATCTGTAATAAGTTTCGATGGCGTCGCTTTGGCTTGGTATCGTTATCATGAGAAGCGGAACCGATTTACCAGTTGGGATAATTCAGGACCCGATTACTGGAGCGATTTCGGAAGGCGAAAGAGGGACGACGGTGCGCGCGGGTGTTAGTGATTAAGCAGGAGGCAAGCGTTGCCGAGTATATCGAGACATTCGAAACTCTGTCGACGCCGCTTCCACACCTTTCTGATGAGGTTTTGGAGTGTGCATTCCTAAATGGGCTTGACCTAGTGGTGCGTGTGGAGGTGTTAGCTACGGAGCCCACAGGCCTGGAGCAAATGAAGCGAGCCCAATTAATTGAGGACATAACAATTGCAGTCTAAGAGGTAGGGGAGAGTGCTTTGGATCGGAAAACGAAGATGACGGCTGTGGGGGGCAAAAGCAGCGATCAAAACAGGTGAGTCAACTCCTACCGGAACGGTTACCCTAGCCAGCAAAACCAATGCCGCCGCATCGAACGTGCCGGTACCGATGGCCAAGAAAGAGGCCACCTACAAACGTCTAATGGAGGAGGAATATAGGAAGAGGGAATGTGGTCTCTGCTTCAAATGTGAGGAAAGGTACACCGTTGGACACCGTAGCAAGAATCACAGTTGCGAGTAATAGTGGTGCACAATGATGAAAAGTTGGATCGGAAGAGGAAGAATAGGGGATCGAAATTGATGACTGCTCTGACGAGAAGGGTAAAGCCGTGATGTGCTGCTTGAATATGATCGTGAGTTTAACGACCCTAGGCATGATCAAAATTCAAAGGACCTTGCAGGGATGAGAGGTTGTGGTCCTATTAGATTGCGGCGCCACGCATAACTTCCTTTCACAGAAGTTGGTCAACGAATTGAGGATTCCACAATCGGATACGTCCAATTATGGGATCATCACTGGTACATGAACGGTTGTCAAGGGCCAGTGAATCTGCAATGGAGTAGTGTTAGAACTCCCAGAGATTATGATGGTGGAGGATTTCTTACCGATCAAACTGAATGATTTGGATGTCATCCTAGGAATGAAATGGCTGCAGTCAATGGGCAAGATGGAAACTGATTGGCCATCCCTATCAATGTCTTTTGTTCAAGGAAACAAGAAGATTACTCTAAAAGGGGATCCGACTCTGGCTTGTTTGGAGGTCTCTCGTAAGAGGCTAGCTCGATCATGGCAGAATATTGACGAGGGCTATGTGGTGGAACTTAGGGCCATGACAGCCCAAGGACCAGAGCGAATTGAGGGATTGGGTATCCGAAGTAGGGAATTGTCATCTACAGTCCAGCGGCTTCTGGGAGAATATCAGGATGTCTTTCATCCTATTGATCTACTACCACCACAGCGTGAGATTGATCACCGAATTCCGATCAAGGATGGGGAACCCCCGGTGAACGTTTGTCCTTACCGTTATGCTCACGCACAGAAGACGGAGATTGAAAAAATGATTGGAGATATGATCCAAAATGGGCTTACTCAACCGAGTGTGAGTCCCTATTCTAGCCCGGTGATATTAATCAAGAAAAAGGATGGTAGTTGGCAGTTCTACGTGGATTATAGAGCCTTCAACAACGTGACCGTCCCGGACAAATTTCCTATTCCTGTGATTGATGAGCTGCTTGATGAATTACATGGGTCTTGTATCTATTCCAAGATAGATCTCAAATCTGGGTATCACCAAATTAGAATGGCGCCAGAAGATGTGCAAAAGACCGCCTTTAGAACCCACGAGAGCCACTATGAATTCTTAGTAATGTCGTTTGGGCTAACCAACGCCCCTGCAACATTCCAGTCGTTGATGAATAAGATCTTTCGGCCATTTTTGCGTAAGTTTGTATTTGTCTTTTTCGATGATATTCTCATTTACAGTCAAGACTTGCATTTGCATATTATTCATTTGACTGTTGTGTTCAATCTGTTGCGAGACTACTCCCTGTATGCGAATTTCAAGAAATGTAGCTTTGTACAGGACAAAGTCATATCTCGGGCATTGGGTGTCTGCCGAAGGTGTTGAGGCCAATCCAGAAAAAATTCAAGCGATGTTGCAATGGCCTATCCCAACTAATATATAGGAACTCTGGGGATTTCTTGGATTGACGGGATAGTACAGGAAGTTTGTATTGAACTATGGAACATTGGCAGCCCCTCTCACCCAACTACTCAAAAAAGATGCTTTTGAATGGACCAAGCAAGCTACCGATGCCTTTGAGAAACTTAAGACAACGATGGTGATCATGCCGGTATTGGCCTTGCCAGACTTCAACCTGCCCTTTGTGATCGAAACAGACGCATCCGACACAGGATTGGGAGCGGTTCTTACTCAAGTGCAACGACCCATTGCTTATTTCAGCCATACCTTATCCCATCAAGGACAGGCAAAGTCGGTCATAAGCATGAATTGATGGCAGTGAAATTAGCCATTCAAAAGTGGAGGCCCTATTTGCCCAGCCATGAATTTATTGTGCGCACGAATCAAAAAGCACTGAAATACCTCTTGGAGCAGAGGATCGTTCAACCGGAGTATCAGAAATGGGTCTCAAAGCTCCTTGGTTATGATTTTGAAATCCAATACAAGCCGGGCCTTGAGACCAAAGCGGCGGATGCTTTGTCGAGGATGCCCCCCGGATCTCAACTCACTATTATGGCTGTCCCAACCTTGTTGGTGTGGAGTTGCTCAAAGCAGAGGTCCTATCGAAGATTATGGCAGAGTTGGTAACTGATCAGGATAGCTATCCTAAGTATAGCTTGCAAGAAGGGGTTCTTTGTTGCAAGGACCGAATGGTGAACTCAAGTACTTTTGCCTTGAGACCAACAATTCTGATCTATACCACAACTCTATCATGGGGGGCATTCGGGATTTTTAAGTACATGTAAGAGGATTACCAGTGAACTCTTTTGGCAGGGCATGAAAGCCGACGTGAAGAAGTTCGTTGAGCATGCTATATTTGTCAATGCAACAAGGCCTCCATGGTGTCACCTACCGGCCTGCTTCAACCCTTGGCTGTGCCCGACCATGTTTGGGAGGATATTACAATGGATTTTGTTGAAGCGTAGCATCGCCTATCATATGTAGACCGATGGTCAAACGGAGATTGTTAACAAGTGCCTTGAAACTTACCTCCGTTGTTTTTGCAAAGAGACACCACGGACACGAGGACAATGGCTACCGTCAAGGAAGCATGAACATGTTATTTTTTACAAAGTGTCTGTGTCTGACACGTGTCGGACACGGATACGTCCGAACACATGTTCGACACGCGAAATAGTGTGTCCATTTTATTATTATTATTTTTTTATTTCGGACACGTGATGGACACGCCATAGACACGCTTTGGACACACTGAGTATATGGTGGTTGCCATAGCTAGTGGTTGTTCTGTGTCAGCCTTCGTACAAAGGGTTGTCTAAAGATGAAGAAGAAAAAGAAAAAGAGATTGTGACAGAAGAGAAGAAAAAAATTACAGCACAAAAGAAGTGGGAGAAGAAAGAGAGAGAGAAGCAGAAACTTCTGGCGAAAGAGAAGTTGAAGAAGAAGGAAAAAAAAGAAGTAGAAGTGAAAAAATTCGAAGAAGATGAAGAAAAACAAGTGTTGGGCTGCTGCATGCAGCATTCCTTCTCCATGTTTGAAGGATGGCAATATTTCCTTTCTAATAAATCAAAGGCTGACAGTATTTTCCATGACTAACAGATGGCGGAAAGTAGTATTAACAGCAGAAAGTTTATTTAAAGCCATAACACTGCCTTTATTTTTTACCATTTTTTTAACAATAACCTATCGAGATCTTTTTTTTTTTCCTGAATATCTCCATTTTTTTCCTACTTATTTATGTTAACATTTATTTAATTTAAACATTAAATAATTTTGTTAATATTTCTATTTCTTAAACTTTGAGTATTTGTTTTTTTTTCATATATTATTTAAAAAAAATAAAATAAATAACGTGTCCCCAACGTGTCCGTGTCCTACATTTTTAGAAATTGGCGTGTCGCCATGTCTGTGTCGTGTCGTATCCGTGTCCGTGCTTCTTAGGCTACCATGGGCAGAGTATTGGTATAACACCACTTT